CGGCTGTTCTGCTGCACTCGATCTCGTATCCGGAAACCGGAGACGCTGATTATACGTCCATGTGTAAACACCGCCACTCCGCACGTGGGGGTAATCACCAAGTGACAACAAGCACCTCGCAGGGTTTCCATCTGAGACCCGCTTCCAGGTAATTCACTTCTTGGAAGAGTGGCTGGCAATATCAGAATGAAAGAATTATAGTCCACTTTGGATGAGCCACACCTCGTTCAAGGTCGCTACCGAGTCGTTGTTGAGGTGGGGGCTAAACGATAAGTATGATTGCCATGACATCAATCACATGTTGCTGCATGGGTACGCCTGCTCGGGTGATCGCTTATGTTTCCGCAGCGTCGTTATCCCCTTGGAATCGCTTGTGTTTATAAGCCATCAGCACACATATAAAGCATACTTATTGATTCAGTGAGAGATGAAACAACTCAATCAGTTAGGGTTGTGTTTACACACCCCATCAGTGTGTCGAAAGTGCGCCCTGTTGGAATGCGGAAAACAGCCGTCTTAAGTGATTTGTCGGCGGGAAAAAACTTTTACGATACTACACATTCCCACAATAAACATGTATATTGATTAATGACGCGCGGCAAAAACTGCAGATAACGGTCAACTTCAAAGCGGCCTCGCAAATTCAGGGCAACTACTTAGGATCGCTGCGCTGAGAGTGAAAAACTTCATATGACAGATGCCACGGAAACCCAATTTCCCACACAAAACCCTATTGAGTACACATAAACGCCCGTTCATGTGTTCCTAATTGGATCTCGAGCTCAAATGACAATCAATGAAAAAACAACGTCCCATAACGTATGATTCATTAACGGAACAGTGGTTTATCACCGCCCTGACTCACTGCAGATTTTTTTCATCGCCCAATTCTTTCGTACACAGGACATAACCATTAGATGAACGTACATGTGGAACGTTCACAAAGAACCCAGTCGTAACGACCCGAAGAGACTGATGGGAAAAACTGGTAGACAATAAGGAATGAACCGGAAGTCTGCTGGGAAACGATTTAGAACTGAAGACATAGAAACCGATCGAATGGAAGGTGTGTGAAACTCTTGGCTGTAGCTTAAGAACGTTAATTGCTTCCTTTCAATGATGTGATACTAGAAAAGCCCAAACATGCACGAGAATTCAAGTTTTTTTTTTGCCCTGGACGGCAAGAAAAATGATTTGGGCGAGAACGAGTTTTTCGAGAACAATGCCTGATTCATCGAAATTTGAAAAAAAAACACTGTTTTTGACGATCTCTTTGTGCGCCATGCCAGCCAGGCGTTTGTGGGAAATCGATGAACTATTCGCAAACTCGAGCAGGTGACGAAAAATTGGGTACTACTGCACTAATACGATCATCTTAAGAGCAAAGTGCAGCGAAAAACTTATATTTTTGCCGAAACCTCCCCTGGCTATTGATAGTCCTGCCCACAAAAATGGCAATTTTTGCGCAATGCTTCGCCGTTGGAATGTAAGCATAATTAGGACCACAACCATTTTTGTAGAATAAACTTGAACAAAAACAATTTTCGACCCATTTTGCCACCAGCGGGGTTGAAACAGTGCTACCATAGAATCAAAAGTTTAACTGACGTCAGGAGATTTTCACTATCCATTTGGTTTCAAGGTTCTTCAC